AGCATGCCCTGGTCCCATAGCGGGAATGGCACATCACCCACCCACGCAGAGTTAAGCTAGAGAAGGGCATCATTCTGTTCTCTGGGGACAGGTCTGCCCTGACCGGGTGAGTGCACGGCTGCTGCAACTGCGGTTCTCAGTGGAGGTGCCGGGAGGCACCGGCAGGCAGGTGGGACCGAGTGTATAAGGAGGCATTTCTTTGCATATCTTTCAACCCCAGCTTCCTGCTATCACTGCACCGTTTCTCCTGCCAGACGACAGCTCCCCAGATGGGCCTCAGACAGCCACTTCCCTCCCCAGGCCCCGCCCTTACGTGGTATCTGTCGGCGATGTGGAAGCCAATGGCGCTCTGCAGCTTGCGCAAGCAGATGGGACAGAGGTGTGGGGGGCGCCGGTCAGCTTCCTCCAGGTGGTTGGAGCCTTGCATCAGGCAAGAGAGCCACTGGCAGTGTCGCATTCCAAAGATGTGTCCGATCTCGTGGGTCAAAGTCTGCGAGACAAGCAGGTGGGGCTTTATACACCAGCATGAGAATCAAGTTACACAGCCCTCGGGTTCTTGCTTTGCCCACAAGCCCCGTCAGCACCACCTCCGAACCTGCAAGTCTGCCCATGTTGCCCTAAATGCCTTACCGCCTTCCTTCCTTTTCTTCCTGAATGCTTTTCCCTGGACCTCAGCGCCCTGCTGTACTGGGTGGCATTGATCTTTGCAATGAGGGGCTGTCTCGGACACTCAAGAATGTTGAAGCCGCATCCTTGGCCTCTACTCATGCCATGCCAGCACACAGCTCCTCCGCTCCACCAGTGGTGACAACTGAAAATGTCTCCAAATGTGACCAGGTGTGCTTGGAAGCAGAGGCTCCTGGTTGCGAATGACATCAAGACCGGTGGGCTACTTGGGACAATTCAGATACTGGGACCTCCCCAGATGCACTGACTCAGTCGGACTGGGGGTGGAGGGGTCTCCAACTAACTGCAGGCCTAATAGGCACGCCAAGGGATGCTGATGCAGGAGCCGATGGAACACACTTTGAAAGAAACATCCTTCTAAGAGGAATCACCTAAAACGCCCCCACGCCATCCTGGTGAGAACTATGTCTGTGGCCGGAAGGGCAGAGAAACACTGGGAGACAGGCCTCCCAGAGGGCAGGCAAGGGAATGACTTCTGAGGCCCTGCTGCTGTCTGGGACCTCCCCGGGGAGGCAGAAGCACCTGAGAGGAAGGAGGTGGGCTCCCTCTCCCTGAGAGGCTGGCGGCCCCTCCCGCAGCCCTGTGATGCTGAGCTCGGTGGATCCAGAGGAGGCAGAGGTAGCTGGGAAGCCCCCCGTCTGAGCCTTCACTGAAAGAGGCTGCCCACAGGGAGCCTTGGTGCTGCTGTGGGTGAAGCACCAGCTGTAAAATTCAAGGTCGGCAGAACAAACTCATCAGCCAAGCAATGGGAGAAAGAGGAGGCTACCTGCTCCAGCAGAGATTTCGTCTGGGAAACCCAACCAGGGTGGCTCTGAGTCGGAATCCATTAGATGGCCGTGGGTTTGGTGGCTGCCTCACAAATGGACCACAGAAATGACCTCAGGTCCCGACTGCAACCCATCAGCGCAGGAGCAGCCAAGGCAATGGAGGCGAGCCCTGGGGTTTTCTGGGAGAGTATGGGGCTATGGTAGTGTGTCAGGTTCAGATTCAATGTTCCCTGGTCCACTGACCGGCTTCAGCAGGCCCGAGGGTGGGGGAGAGGGGCAGCTGACCTGGCTCCTCCGCCCTTCCAGCCCACCTGATGGGCAGCAGCTGCTCCCTGTGCGTGTGGCCTCGTGCTCAGAGCAGGTGTGCGTCCACTCACCCTGCAACACTCCTGAGCGGCCTGCCTCGGAGCCACGACCCGGGTGCTTTTGGCTAAGGTGACCAGACTTCCCACTTTTGGCGGGCCAGTCCCGATTTTTAACAATTTTTCCTGTGTCCTGCTGTGTTTTAAAAAATCCCAATTTTTGGAAAGAATGCACGACAAGCTAGGGTAGACGGTTTTGGGCTGCCATGTAGCTATTTCGTCAGGATATTAGTTTTATCAATGGTGTCCCGCTTTACCAATGTTAAAAGCTGGTCACCTTACACAATTGATCTATGTATTGTGATGAATTGTATGAGCCCCAATAAATTGATTAGAAAGAAAAATTAACCTCCACATTGAAAAAAAATTATAATCTGTTGCAAAAATATGATCTCTATTCTAAATAAAATTAGTTGTAGATGAAAAAAAAAAAAAAAGCTGGTCACCTTACTTTTGGCGAGCCTGTTGTACTTAGCTGTCTGCCTGACTGTCTGTCTCTCCCACTAGACATGCTTTCAAGCTGTCTCACTTGGCGGCACAAGGCCTGGCAGTAAGCAACCACCACCAACCAAACTCACTGCCGTCGAGTGTGATTCACAGTAGGACCGCCCGTTGGGTTTCTGAAACAACAACTCTGTACAGGGGCAGAAGGCCTCAGCTTTCTCCTGTGGAGCAAATGGTGGATTGGAACTGCCGACCTTGTGGTAACCCACAATGTCATCAGGGTGCTTAACAAAACAGCAGGTGTTAAGCGGATGCACTTATAATGATCTCCCCCGAGAACTGGGCAGTCTACATTTCACCAGCAAGGTTTCCATCTGAACCCTGTTTGCATTCTTTCGGTACAGCAACCATCAAAAGTATGCAAATCAGAAAGCGCATTTAGAATATTAAGGTCTGTTTACACACAAGGTAGGGGGATGAAGGTCTCTTTAAAAACCAACCAACCAATCCACCATGCCCTTGCTGCACTTTGTAAACAACTCACCTTACAGGAGCGAAGCAGCAAAACACCAGTGATCTCAGGAACACAGTAGTTGTCAAATACCGAATAGTCGCTGGAGGAAGATACCACTGGCTTCTGCCCTTTGCCTTTGAAGCACTCGCTGTAAAAGTCATTGCTGTACCTGGCGAAGCTGAATATCCCCACACCTGCAGAGCCAGGGAAAAGCGCGGGGAATGAGACCGTGGCTTCCGGGGCAAGGGGGTGGGTATGGGGGCGGCGGTCAGTGAGGGCATCTGGGTTGCAGGTGGGCACAGTGGCCTGGGCTTGGGTCCCCCATCTCCCCATCAGATCTCCTTTCTTCTGCCCCAGCCTGAAGCACTCAAAGGATTGAGGGCAAGTCCTTCAGAAATCAGCCAGTCCAGGGACTGGGGGTTTTGTTTTTCTCACAGATCCAAATCAAATGACCCAAACGGAGCGGCAGAGGATAATCACACGCACACCACACGGGTATGACTCGGCGCCTCCAGGGGGCGGGACCACCACCCTGGTTTCATGCTTAGCAGCATGAGGCTTTGGACTGGCCTGCCCACTGGCCCTCGTGTCTTGGAGATGTTATTTTGGCCCAGGTGGCCCTACCCCCTCAAGACATTTAATCTATGTATACATATGACCAATGAGCTACAATGTATGTAGCTGATTTTAAAAGGCGAGGTGGGCCAATCAAAAACTGACTTGGAGATTGGTACCAAGAAACAGGAAAACATTTAGCTAGATGAGGGGCGGGGCTTCATGCTTGGTAAAGTGGCAGGACAGTGAAAGAAAGGAAGGCGCTCAACAAGATGGACTGGCACCATGGCTGCAACCATGGAAGATAACCTAGCAGGGCCAGGGCCAGGGGAAACCGCAGGCAGATGGAAGTACGAGGAGAGCACCGCACAGGAGTCAAAGAAGCGGCGATCCAGAAGACAAGAAACCATGAGACAGCGGGGATCAGTGGAGGGAGAGAGCGCCGTTATACTGCCTCGGCGTATAATGTTCCATTTCTGGGCCCATCTTAGGGGGCTCTTTATAATAACCCCTCTTACCCTTGCTTAGTAGTGATTTGAAAAGCTGGCTGAGGTAATTAGATTTATGTCAACTTGATCCTGTGTGAAAGTCTATGGGTGGGTCCAACCTATCAATCAGGTCACAACCTGATGCCTTCTTGGGGGTGTGAGACTTTTTATAAGAGAGACTCCCTCTCTCTGCTTTTCACCTTCTTCTGGCTGGGATGCTGTGTCTGCCACCAGAGGTGACCATGACCACACATAGGTCACCCAGCCGTGGGAGCTGTTATCCGCTGACTCCTCACTGGCCTTGGATACACACGGCCAACCTGTGATTTCCCTGCATCCTGGTTCATCCTTCTGCATCATCGGCGTTTGGCTACGCAAGTCTGAAGAGGGGTCCAGCTAGTATGGGACCCATGGACTTGAACTGGACTGGGCTAGGATACCTTCTTGCTAGAAGCTGACCATAGTAATCCTGTAGATTACTTCTGGACATACAGTTCTCTCACACATTTGTACGTATCACTGGTTTTGCTTCTCCAGAGCACCCGGCCTAACACACTTATCAAGCTCTCAGCAAGTGCCATAAATGATGTGTGCAACCTTACACGCATGATCTTAATCACCATTGCAACTCTGAGGGTGTGGTACTACCTCATTTTGTGAATGAAGAAATGGAGGCTGAGAACTTCCTGGGCATGGTATTTTCAAGATTCTTGCCAGCGCCATCATTCAAATGCATCAATTCTTCTTCTTTGTCCAACTTTCACATGCATGTGAAGTGACTGAAAATCCTATGGCGTGGGTCAGACACATCTTAGTCCTCAAAGTAACACCCTAGTTGGGGAGAACCATGGACTGTCCGAAGAATAAACACATCTGTCTGGGAAGAAGTCCTGCCAGAATGCTCCTTGGAGGCAAGCCTGGCGAGACTTTGTCTCACATCCTTTGGACACATTGTCAGGAGAGCCCGGTCCCTGCAAAAGGACAGCATGCTTGGTAAAGTAATGGGGCAGTGAAAAAGAGGAAGGTGCTCAAGGTGACTGACACAGGGGCCACGACAACAGGCTCAAGCCAAAAACAACTGTCAGGACGGCGCAAGCTCAGGCAGGGTTTGGTGCGTTGGTCCATCGGGTCGCTGTGAGTTGGAGCTGACACGACAGTGCCTAACAACAATCAGGGCAAAATGCAGGGCTCTGGGCCCCATCGCCAGGGTCTCTGACGACAGCAGTTCTGGGGTGAGCTCAGTGCTCTCTGCTTTCAGGGAGCCTATCAGAATAAGTCTGATGCGAGACCGCGTCACTATTCAAGGAGAAGCTGCAGGGGAGCAAGGCTTCTCATAGGCTGGTGGCGACTAGCCGGTGGGCCATAAAGTCCACTTAGAAGACTTAACAAAGGAAACCAACTAGCAAATATCAGTACACTCACATACCCAAGCCAAGCCAGCCAAACCCACTGCCATTGAGTTGATTCTGACTCATAGTGACCCTCAGACCAGAGGAGAACCTGCTGCACAGGGTGTCCAAAGCTGCGCTCTTTACGGGAGCAGACACCTCATCTTTCTCCCAAGGATATGGTAGGTTCGAACTGCCAGCCTTTCTGTTTAGAAGCCCAAGCCTTAGTCCACTGTGCCACCAGAGCTCCTAATTGCACGTCCCACCCAGTACCATCCACTCTAACTCATTGCCACTCTACACAGGGTTTCCAAGACTGCAAATCTTCAAGGGGGCAAACAGCCTCATCTCTGGTGGTGAAGCGCTAACGTAGTGCTCACAGGGCAACGCCTATCTCCTAACACCACCAGGGCTCCTTTAATTGTAATTACAAACCAAAAACCAAACTCACTGCCATCGAGTCAATTCCAATTCATAGCACAGCACAGGGCAGGGTAGAACTGCCTCTGTAAGTTTCCAAGGCTGTAACTCTTGTACACAGTACAGGTTAAATATTATTTCGTTAGTCTGTTTCAGATTCACAAAACCCCTTTACAGAGTGAATATACATCTAAAAATATATCAGAATCTTCTTTGTATAACTTAACACTATGTATAACTAAATGTTCTTAAACACACACATACACACATACTCTAGTTCCTTTTCCAATTGCTGCTTGTGCCCTGCCTAATCCACTAATGGGCCTGTTGGAAAAACACTGCTTTAGAGGACCAAGAAAGACCACTTGCACCACGCTGCTTAATGACGAGGTCTGGCCACCTCCTGTGGGTACAAAGGCACTTACTAGACTTGGGGTCTATGTGCCAAGCAGGGCACTGGATACGAAAGCAAGGGCTATTAGGTCTGAGGGCAGGCTTCCTCTCGCTGACCCATTAGTGGACGGGGAAACCAACTTAGGATCCCTGGTGGCCCAGCGGCTAAACACTCAGCTGCTACCTGAAGGGGCTGGCAGTTCGAACCCACCAGTGACAAACACCAACAGTTCCGCAGGAGAAAGCTACCCAGCCTGCTTCTGGGAAGATGTACCCTCAAAACCCCGTGGGGCAGCTGGATTCCACCGCACAGAGTGGCCTAAATCAGAACCCAGGGTTTTTGACTGCTCCTCTCAGAGCTTGCTGAGTCTGGCTAGATGGCCCTGACTCCTAACTCCCTAGGGGGTTAAAGAGAACTTTCAGAAAAGCCTTGAGACTGAAGACTGCAGGGACTGCGGAAGTCGCTGATCTTGGTGGAAAATCCAAGATGAGTTCCAGGGACCGATGGGACAGGACTTTGGCTGGGGTTGGAGAACACATTCCAAGAGTTGATGAGGGCAGCTGCAGCCACGATGGGGGACGTGGTGCACGGCTGGCCGTGGGGCTTAGTGGGGAGCTGGCAGCCCACTGAATGCAAGTGAGAGCATTCCTGGATGATAGACAAATCAAACAGCAGAACTGAGGGCCCTCACAATGCAACAAGCAAAAAGTCCAAAAAGGGTGGGTTAAACTCACCATTGATTCTGAGGACAGCAAGTTTGTTGTCAAAGCACGACAGAGTAGGTTGCTAACTGGAAACGGAATGGATGGAAAACAGCCTCTGGAAGAGCTGCTATTAACAGAAGTGACTTTGACAAGACTGATCAAGCGTCCCATGACCTGGAGGCCATGGAAATGGGTCCCTAGTCATCAAGGCATCGAAGGCAATGAAGTCACGCATAGACTGGCCACACAAGGAACTAGAACAGCGGTTCTTAACCTGTGGAGCGCAACTCCTTTGGGGACTGAATGACCCTTTCACAGGGGTCGCCCGGTTCATCACAGTAGCAAAATGACAGTGATGAACTAGCAACGAGAATAACTGTATGGTTGGGGGTCACCACCACATGAGGAGCTGTACAGAACGGTTGCAGCATCAGAAAGGTTGAGCACCACTGAGCTAGAAGACTTCATCTCCATCGGAGGTCGTGTTAACCTTCTCTTTTGGAGTTCTATTTGTTGAAGAGGAAGGCTGATTAACAACCTGAAGTACGCAGATGACACAACCTTGCTTGCGCAAAGTGAGGAGGACGTGAAGCACTTGCTGATGAAGATCAAGGATTGCAGCCTTCAGTGTGGACTACAACTCCATGTAAAGAAGACCCAAGGTCCACATGGCCGCAGGACCGAGTGAGCCCGAGCCAGGGTGCAGGTTGGTGGCAGGGGCTGCTGAGGTGGCGCTCAGCCGTGTCAGCGTGCTGGGGCCAGGCCCCGCCATGAGCCATGGCCATATCCGTGAACACTAGGGACAGGGACTATGAATCGGGCAGTGGGTTGGCCCAAGGGCAAGCTGGACCCAGGCTTTGCCGTCAAGTTGGCTGCCAACCGGACCATGGCAGGAGCTTGCTGGCGCTGGACAAAATGTCACCAGGGCGAGGCCTGCCTGCAGATGGAGTGCAGGGACTGCCACTTCTACAAGGGCATGAAGAAGTTCAGGTGCCCTGGGTGGATGAAGTAGAGCTGTATCACGCGGCAGTGCATGGCAAGGCCGGGAAGGAAGACTCGGTGGAGGAGGAGGAAGTCAAGTTCAATCTCACCCTCATGGAGGGCTACATCTGCAATGGAATCATTCACCCCGGATGCCTTAAGATTAAGGAGTCAGAGGGGGTGGTCAACGAAGAGCCTACAAACTGCTAGGTATGCCCGAAGGAAAGCCTACAAGCAAAAGTGTGGCCCCGGTTTCACGTATGC